CCGTGACGCACGCCCAGCCCACCCCGCCTCTGGCTTCGATGGTGGGTCCAGCGGCTGCACAGGAAGTGCCCACCTGGCCAGGAGCGCGTCCCTGTAGGAAGGGGCTCCTCCTGAAGAGCAGGAGCTGGCTCGCGTAGCAAGGGCTGGGCTCCCGCCCAGCCAGGTCTGCAGGGAGGCGCACCTGGACGGGGCCCAGGCTCTGCTCGGAGCTCTGAGGGTGGCGATAAAGCTGCGCCTGGGCCTCCGTCTGCCCGGCGCTCACGTGGACCCGGTGCTCGCCGCGTGAGGACAGGCAGCCCTGGAACAGCACGGGTCAGACACTGACGGGCGGGATCACCTTCTGGATCAGACCCAAGAGGCGGAAACACCTGGAAAGGCCCGAGCCAGGACTGGACCCCAGGACGGGGCAGCCCTGTGACCGGGATGCGAGCTGCTTTTGTGTCGATGCGTCTTCCTGAGACGCTCCACTCACTTGTGCCCACAGCTGGCTCCGTGGGCTCCTCAGCCCCAGGGAGCCAAGACCTTGACTACTACATGCGGGGCTGCCAGGGCCACGAGCGCAGTGCCGAGGGCACAGAGCAGGCAGGGCGGGAGGTGCCGTCTAAATGTGCCGACTGCTGCTCGGCTGCGGTCACTGGGCTCACATTGAACACCCGTTCACTCTCTCCTTTCCCCAGCATCACACCAACTATCAGCTACATGATCAGCAGGTCTGGGCAGGGGGGAGGGTAAATGGGGACCAAGGAGACATGGAAGCTTCTGGAAGGAACCCAACCAATCCTGACACACTGTCCTGTGGTCACTGCAGCAGGAGCAAATGAAATGACGCTGGCGGCCAGGTCTGTCGGGGCTGCTTCCACATAACACCACCACCCGCCTTACTCCCTGCGCCCCTCAGGGGACAGGCCCCATGTCCCTCATGGAAACCCACTGGACCCAGGGGACGGACAGGGGTGACATCCACTGCACATTGCACTACCCACGAAACACAGCTCACGATGAACATTCCCTAAGACGAATGTCCCCGGCATCGTAGCCATCAGACCCCAGGACCCCAGTTCATTGTGGGTTTTGAGAGCAATTACTAAGCCAGTTCCTGTCCGAGGGAGGAGCAGCCGTTACCCGAGGAGGAGGGGACCGTACCAGCAGCACGTCTGCGATGGCCTGAGCACCTTCCTCCAGCAGGCGGCCCGAGCTCCTTGAGTGACCGTGGTCGCTGGCCTCCAGCACCCCGGACACGAGAAGG